ACTTGGAAAAGGCTCATAATTGACACGTTGGTCTCCCTGGGTATAAAGCTTTTATAAATAATTGTCTTATTAATAGAATTTTCAGAGTAAGAATAGGGATGTTCTGTCTCAGGAGTTTGAACAAGAGAATGGGGTACCGCAAGGCTGTGTTTTAAGTGCAACATTCTTTTGTATTTGTTTTAATCAGTTTTTTAATATAATGAGGTTGGCGGTCAAATGGATGCAATACACGGACGATCTTGTGATTTATTCTGAGAGAACACACGTAACAGGCTTTCAAGAAAACACAATCTGCCCTAAGCCTGCCCCAGTGTTTGCTAATCATGGCTAAACAACTTGCTAATCATGGCTTTAAAATATCAACCAACAAGACTGTTGTGATCCTCTTTAACAAAAGACTCTCAAATTCTCTACCATCACTATCCATTGACAACTAATCAATCTCATTCTTCAACACTGAAAAGTGGAATAACATTTGACCGAACACTTAATTGGGGGTCAACATATCAAACAATTAAAAACCAATTGCCTTCACTCTTTAAACCTTTTAAAAACTTTAAGTAATACAAAGTGGGGTGCGGATCGGAAAATCATGTTATCCCTGTATAGATCATAGTTGAATTATGGTTGCAATGTATACAACTCGCCTTCGGTTAACGTTTTAAAAATGCTGGAACCCATTCAGAGCACAGGTCTCAGAATAGCTACAGGTGCTTTCTGCTCCAGACTCTCCATTAGCTTATGTATAGAAGCTGGGGATCCTCCATTAGACCTAAGACGATAACACCTTGATTTTATCTACTCTTCTAAAATCCTTTCTGCTTCCAACCATCCTTTGACTTATCTATTTCCAAATAGACAGTATTTAATCCAACAGCGAATTGCCTCATTATACCTAAATTTTGAAATACCTACCTTTCATGAAATGACAGTATCACCAATTCATCGGTGGGAATTTCTCACTCCGAAAATCTGTCTTTCACTCTCAAAATTACTCAAAAACAAGGCCTTCCCATATGAATATAAATATGAGTTCAACAGACTGAAAGTGAGACTTGGAGATGCTGACTATATTGTAACATCTCTCTTATATTTTACAAATAATGATATGACCTCATGGAAGATCGCTTTATACCGTTGGGACGCTTCCAAAAGAATTAAGAGGTTATTAAATAATAAACAAAATTATAAGGGTATTCATTTATTAAACTAAACTTTATAATTATTTTATCTCAGGTATGGGTTACAGACAATCAGATCAAAAGACTCAGACAGACTAACATTAACTACACTAAACATTGTTCGATTTTAAAATAAAGTCAAGTATGGATTGGCAAGCTAACCTTTTTTCTATAGATACTGTTTCTTCCTTTGTTGCACCAAATTAATTCTTACAATCTTCTGCCAAACACAACTTCCAAAATGGTGACACTTTCTTCTACTCAACTCAAGCTCCCTGGGAGATCCTCTCTCTTGTAATTCCAAACAACTTGTCTCTCTGCCAAACAACTTTCAAGATGGTAATACTATTACTGGGTTTTATCCACTGGAGCCAGGTTCCTTCTCCTATTCTCTCTTCACTCCATCCAAACATCAACTGCTTTGCCAAAACAAAATCCGTTGTTCCCTCTCCCCTTTTGGGATTTTGCATTCTGGGGAAACCACAGATTAGCCATTTTCTTTTTCCTGATTTAATAGAACTAGATTATCTTGCCTTTTAACTGTTCAACATTAATTTATTAAACCCTTTTTATCCACTTTCAATAAAGGTGTATATTACAATATCTATACCGAAGGGTCCAAGAGCACCATAGGTGTGGGAGCCTCGGTTGTGTGTAATGGTTGACATAATTTTTCTCTTTCACCCACTTTAGCAATTATACCGCTGAATGGGTCACAATTTACATGATTTTAAATGTATTCATCCTACAAATAAAACGTTATCTGTGCAGATTCACTCTCCGCCCTACTTATTAGCCTTAGATATTCATTCTTGACTAACCATATTACGCAAAATATTTTATTCTCATTAATGACAGCCAACAGAAGCAATATCTCTGTGATCTTTGCCTGGGCCTCTGGTCATTGCCAGAAATGAATTGGCTGATCGGGCCAAAGATGTAATAACTGACGTCATACATATCTGTGGGTTCCTGCAGAAGATTTTATCTCTCTTTAGACAAAAAATAAAATTAAAATGGGAACAAAGGCGGTTGATTTGCTGTCTCCGGAAATAAACTGAGGGAAATTAAAAGTGATGTCTCTGCATGAAAATCTTCAATCCGAAATAGACGAAGAGAGGAGGTAGTTCTGGGTGCGTATAGACCACACACGTCTGACTCACGGTTACCTGATGGCTCGCAAATCTCCAACTGAATGCCAGAGCTGCAGATGTCCGCTAACTGTGAAACACCTTCTAACAGAATGCAGATCAAATGAAAACGAAAGATCACTCTCTGATATCTCTCAAAATATTTATTCTGCTCTCTTGGACAATATACAGACTTTTTTACTTTCTAAGATGGACAGAGATATACTCCAAAATTTAAAATTTAATCATTGACACAAGGCGATAATGAACTTGGTCATTGACGCCTTTATAAAAAACAAAAAAAAAAAAAAAAGGTATTTACTAATGAAATTCCCCTGTAATTTTTGCAATATGTTCTATTCCCCTTTTTGTATATTGGGCATATCAGGGACCTAGACCATTCTTCGGGCATTTTCTCAAATCTCCATACATTGAAAATGATGTAAATGTTTCCCCACACTTTTTCCCCTGAATTTTTAATAATCTCATTTTGTATTTCATCCAGAATCCAGACCCTGATGCTTTTTTGTTTTTGAGCTGAAAGATGATTTCAATAATCTCATCCATTTCTGAGGGAATCTTTATCTCACCCAAGTCCTCCTCTTTACCTAGTGCATAGCTAATCAGTGTCTACACAATACAAATAAAATAGAAAATATGCAGTCAGCAACTAACATGCAACTTTTCTCACTTCACTATACCACAATGGTCTGTTTCAATATTTTTTTGCTCCTCCTTCTTGTCTTTGTCACAAATTTTCGCCAAGTCTTCTGCATCAAACTTTTTTTTGTTTCATCTGAAATCAATGAGGGGAGCTGGGTAGCTCAGTGGGTGGGCACTGACTTCCAAAGCTCAAGGTCCTGGGTTCGAATCCGCCTAATGACTAGTAATTTTTCATTAGCCATGGATCGACCCTGAGATCAGGAGACCCTCCTGGGCCACACCCAGCCTCTATAAAGGGGGTACTCTTAATTATAAAAAAATAATTAAGAGGGAAAATCTGGCGGTTGAGCGTGATATCGGCCCCATCACCTCCCTGCACAACCGTTGGCCTTGAAACAGTACTTCCTCACATAGTACTGCACCCAAGACCCTTCATGGGTTGTAGTGGTACAGGTTTTTTAAAATCAATGACATATCTTCTTCCACTGTGTCTATATTGAAGAGTAGATGCTGCACTATCATAAGATATCCTTAGCATGGTGATCTAATAAAATACTAAATACTAATATTAATCATATTTCACTAACCAAATGATGAATCAAAACCAATTAATGGATAGTAATTCAATTAGTGTATATTGTGTAGGGTGTGTGATTAAGTTTCCACTGTTGTTTGATAAAAATGAAAACTTTATTTTTAAAAAATGGTCAGAAGCAGGTTATTTAAGCATTGTCCATCACTATCCACTACTTTCTCCCATCTTTCAGGTAACATATTGATTCCATGGTAAAAAAAATAAATGACTTTTGAGGCCATCCAGTCATCGACCCATTTTTTAGTTTGTCATAAGAATGGAACCACTGCTTAGCCAGGCCATGAGTCAGCGATTAGAACAAGTGGTAATCAGAAGGAGCAGTGTCTGGTGAATACATGGGTGGGACAGAACTTCCCATTTCAGTGTTTCCAAATAAGTTTTAACCGGGTTTGCTACATGAGGTAGACCGTTATCATGCAGTAAAATGACCTTATTGTGTCTGCTCGTATTTTGGTCACCTTTGCTCAGGGCTTGGCTCAAACGCATCAGTTATAGCCTACAGCGATCTCCTGTGATGGTTTATTTGGCTAAAGCAGATTGTAATAAATGACACTAACATGATTCCATCAAACGTAAAGCATAAACTTGGAACCATAAATGGTCGGCTTTGCTGTCAATGTTGAGGCGTGTTTGGGTTGTTCCCACGATTTTATTCACTTTGGGTTTTCGTAGCATATCCCTTCTCATCACCAGTTACAATATGATACAGAAAACATTTTCTTTTTGTCATTAAAGCAGTTGTTGGTGGGTAAATAAACGTTCAACATCCCTTTTCTTCAAGTGATGGTACCCAGTTTCCTTTCTTTTGAACCATTTCTAAAGCTTTCAAATGTTTAGCTATTGTTCGATCAGCACCCAATGATCCTCCAAGTTCTTCTTGCATCTGGCATGGACCTTCACAAAGTAATGCTTACAAATCTTCATCTTCAAACTTTTTTGGGGCGCCTGGACACTTATCATCTCCAAGATCAAAATCATTGTTTTTAAAGTTTTGAAACAATTTTCTGCATGTTCTTTCTGATAGAACATGATTTACATACGTTTTTGCAAGAATTCTATGCCCATCAGCTTCAGTTTTCTTTTTAAAAAAAAGTGTTTAGTTCTCACCTATAAACAGTTTTGAGGGTACAAAATTTGCCATGTTTGAAAACTTATGAAAAATGTTGTATACACTTTGTGGCTATTAAATAGATTGATAACCCGAGTACAGAGGATTAGCTCTTGAATAAAGTTTGTTTTAGTCTTGCCAGATAAGATTCTGTATTATATTTCTACAGTAATTTTTAGTCATTTGAATTAAATTTTGTTACTCATTGTGTCTAGTATAAGTTTAAAAATGAAAATACTTTAGATTGCTTCCCTGTTGTTGCCAACAAATTGGTTTAAACTCATGTTTGTGATTTAATTTAGTAGTTTTCTCAATTTTTTTAGCTTCAAATTTGGGATACTGCAGGACAGGAAAGGTTTCGGACTATTACCCAAAGCTATTATAGATCTGCCAATGGTGTAATCATAGGTGATGTTTGAAATTTTTTACCATATATTTTACTTTATCTTTTCTGATCCCTTTATTTGTTAAAAAAATATTGGATTATATTATAGTTATAATAAATCTGTATATATTGTTTGAATAATTTGGGAATTAAATAGCTTTACCAAAAATCCATACTTGAAGAAATTTATTTATATATTTTTGGTAGTTATTGCATAAGCAGCTGACTATATTGTGACTGAGCACAAGATCACATCGATCACACCTTAGATGGAATTAAATTTACAACCGAATTTCCCTGAAAGTAAATGGTGTGAGCTGATCTCCACACATTAATATTTAACAATAACATTTATATTATTTAAAATAATGAATATCAAAATAGTTTGATCAAAATGGCACATTTTTTCTAATTCATATTATTGATTATAATCACAATCCCTTATATTTTTTGGACTATTGAGCACAATTGGTAGTATGCATAGTATAAGTACTTTACTATTCCCTACCGTTCTGACTGCTTAAGATCAGAGTCCATCCCTTCTACAATATGGCGACAATTGATGGAGATAAAGGTCCCTTCCTTATTCCCAAAACTCTTCTTTACACTCGCTATAACTTATATTGAATTAATAATTGTTTTTATTATTGTCTTATTATTATTATTTTTGCTATTATTATACTTCTAATTTTTTTGTTATTATTATACTTCTATCTAAATAAAATATAGTGAAAACAAATTTTTGGTTCAAACTTTTTTCGGAATAATTAAGAAGTAGGCTAAAAGCTAAACAACTTTTTTTTTTTTATTGAGAACGTATTTTCTTCACTCCACTCAAAGGAAAGTCATTACAAGGAGGTTACAGCGCTGTTATTATACAATAACTTGATTAATAATTATCTATGGGTGACTCAATAAATATTTAGTGCATTTCCTCACTTCATAAGTTTCAGAAAGAGTGTTAGTTCTGGAAAACAAGAAAACTCTTGGAAAGAATGAAGTTTGCTGTAATATCCTTATCAAATGTATCAGTGTTCATATATATATATATATATATTTATTGATTTGTTGTTCATATGTCCAATAAAGCCTTTTTAGTTATTATTTTACTGATTTCTATTATATAATTAATCAGCTTCTATTAATTTTAATAGATAACATTTCACACTGTCTTTGTTCAGCTTTTATATTAATAAAAGCTTTTGTTGTTGTTTTTACATTTGACATCAATATCAAAAACTCTTATTAACAATACAGTAATATCATTTACTAAAATGAAAGTTAAGAAAAAGCAAATTAAAAGATAACCAATAATACTGAAAGATAACCAATGATACAGGAATAATTACCATTATACAGGTTGTCTTCAAAAATAAATTATCCAATAATAAATTGTGGCTCTAAATGGGACATAAAAAATAAGTTTTATGAGATCAAGCAAAATGAACCTTCAAGAAATTTTGTTTGAAATAATTTTGCTCGGTAATATAGAAATGGAGAAAATAGTATTTCTTTGCTTTACAAAACATATTTTTGTCCCTTACAGACTCCAGCAGACAGAGACAGAGACAGAGACAGAGAGAGAATTCCAGTATCAACATTTCTAATTTGTACCTAAATCCCATCATCTTCGGCTCCTCAATTTAAAACCTATGTATTTTCATTGACCAAACCCTCTCCTGAAATCACCATATTGCTTACATTTCTTAATGGTCAATAGCAAAAATAATAATAATAACACAATATTAAAAATTTTTATCAGTTAAATTTAAGTTGTATTGAGTGTAAAGGGGAGTTTTGGGAATAAGGAAGGGACTCTTTTCTCCATCAAATGCTCCATATAGTAGAAGGGAGGTTGAAGGGATAGATTCTGCCCCAGGCAGTTAAAAACAGTAAGAATCTGGCCTGGGAGTAGTTGACATTTATTTTGTGGCGGAGCCATGGAATGAAACTCGACCCTCCCACTCTGGTTTAAATAGGTTTGGTTGTACCTCTAGAACAACCCTCTCCTTCCGAATGCCAGAAATGGTGGGTAGGGGCTTATCCAATAAAAAAAAAAATTAAGGGAATGGTTAAGTATAAGGGATGTCTATGCATACTATCATATATCTTCAAATAACAATGATGAAATTAGGAATTATAATTTGGATATTAAAAATAAGTCTTAGATCATTTTAGGTATTAGTTGATAGGGACCTGCTTCGTAAGACCCAGCATCAACATAAAGGATCTATAGGGAGATTCCCATTTCTTGAGTGAGGGTAGCAAGCAGAAATCAGACAGTTGAATTTAATTAAAGAAGAAGTGATTTTAATAACTACTGATAACCCCTTATACCTAGAAAGAGATTGACTATATGTATCGTTATAGCATATATGCACTACAACATTGTTAATAAATTTTTATATTAAAATGATTTCTCTATGAATAAATTGTGTTCTGAGATTTCTAAAATTGTGTTGGTTCATTTGCTTGTTTTTCTTCATTCCATGAAAAATTACAACAGTTTTATAATTCCCTTATTCAAAAGAAAAGGTAGTATAATGTTTGTTTAGGATTTATAATTATAGTTTAGGGTTTGTTCAAGGACATTATGATTAATTAAATTATTTAGGGGTTCTAGTTCTAGTTAGGGCTTTGATCAGTATACTCTTGTACCCATTTAATATGGTTAGCCACTTTCTCCATAAGTACCATATTTTTCTATAACACTTGAGGTAGTCATTCAAACTACAGGATATAACATTTATTATTGTAAATTTATTTTTCATATCTTGGTCTTTGTTAATTTTATATTTATTAACAAGATTCAAGGTATTTTGTTATTATGTTCCTGTATTGTTCATATTAAATTTATTTAATATCTGTTGCTGTCTGTGAATCATCTTTGAAAACAATTTTAATAATTTTTATATGTCTATTGTTTGGTTATTTAGTTTATGACATCACAAAGAGATCTTCATTTCTAAATCTTCAAAGGTGGATTGAAGAAGTGAGGAGATACACAGCTTCCAATGTGTTATTAATTCTTATTGGTATGATTTATTATAAAGTTATTATGTATTATATAGCTTAGGCCATTGAACTTAAAATCTTTTCTATGTGTTAATGTAATATATTAGATTAGAAATTAATTTTAAAAATTTGATTTACTTGGGAATAAAATTTCTTTTACACTCCTTGAGAACAAACTGAAAAATCAATCAGTATTATTTCATCTTTTGAAAGAATATTTTATCCTCTTTTCAGAAATATATGTTTGTATCAGGGTACCTGGAAAGCGATTTTTGTAATGTTTCCCTTGCATATATTACTTGTAAATTTATTTTTATTTTTTATGATATTTACAACTGTATTAAGAATTAAAATACATTCAGTACATGTGATAACAGAAAATAATAATATGAAAACACTTATTGAGAAACTACCCACTGGTAGCATTCTAAATACTGTATTTACAATAAGAGATCTCGAAGCCTTCTTCTTTTCAGACGCCTAGGAGGGTTATCATGTTTCGAAGAAGAAGCAAGGTTAGAAACTAGAAAGTTCGGATGGTTCTGGAGTTTATTATGGTATCTGGTTACCTAAAGATAGGTATCTGGATTGGGCCAAATCGGAAACATTTTTTTTTTCTGTTGGCATTACTGACGATGTAGATCTTTTGCTGCCTTAACAAGCCTGCTCCATCTCTGCCTGTCTTGGACTATTTCTTTCCATTTATCTACATGCAGCTCTGTTGCATCTTTGTTGATTATATCTATCCATCTGCTTTTTGGCCTTCCACGTAATTCCTTCAGTTAAATACACTCCACGAATTAAGTAAATTTAGAGGCATCAGTTTTTAAATTGTAACCAATTTAAGAGGTCAGTTCATATGATTTCACTTCATTATTGTCTTATCTGTCAAACGTGACTCCTTTCTGCCATAAAGTTTTTTGTTGAATGATTTCAACCCAAATTAAAATTTTGAGTCAGTTTTAAAATTCCAACAATTCACGTCCTCAGTCATCTCGTATTCTATTTTAGATTGGTTCGCTGCGTATTTTGAACTCAGTTCCAAGCATAAATTCTTCAGTTAAATGCACCGAACAAATTAGTGACTTTAGCACCGTCAGTTTTCGAAACGCAACTACGTAGACCGTCAGTCAAGATGTTTTCGTTTTTTTAGGCGCACAAATTATACACCTCATCAAATTTTCAGCAGTCAGTTTTCTCGCTAAATGAAACATCAAATTTCACCACTTTAATTTAAATTTTCATATATAAAGCAACGGCTTCAAAGCAACTGAGTTGTGTATTTAAATGAGGATTATCTATAATTTAAAATGGTTACTAACTGTAAGTCCTTCCGTTAAACGAAATGGTCGATAGCTTCTAGTCTCAAAGCCTTCGGATTCTATTAACCATTATCCTTTTCAACAAACTAAAATCATTGCCCTCAAATTGTTATCTATCTCTTGATACCAATGTTTCCTCTCACAACGTACCCAAGCAGTCTCTATACTCAGTTAACCACTATCTGCCTACCTTTCTTTATCCCCTGGAGTTGCCCAGGGATCAAGCGTATCTCCTCTCCTTTTTAGGTCTTGTATTAATGACCTACAATTTACCCAATTACTATATTAATGACTACCCAGTTACTCTTTCCTACGTCATGGCAGATCTGATCTCACTGGGGGTGGTGTTGGGCTATATGTTCATGATAGTATCAAGGCCCAAATCCTCTTACAGTCTCTTTGTCATGAACTCTCTCACGTTGAATATTTATTTGTTGAAATGACTTCTATTTTCTCACCCTTATTATATGTTGTTGTCTACCGCCCTCCTTGTGTTCCATTCGACCATCTCTTTGAATCCTCCCTTGTCAACCTGGTTTCCTCCTATTCCAATGTCATCATCTCTGGTGATTTTAATATAAATATGCTCACAGAATCTCCAGAAAAACTCTTCCTTATTGACCTAATATTTTCCCTTAATCTCTATCTGATTCCTTATTCTCCCACTCATCACACGCAATTTTCCGACAGTTGGTTAGACCTCTACATCTCTGACTCTCCCATCAAAATCCTTTCCTCTTCTCAACATCCCATTCCATTTCTCTCATCACATGACCTAATCCAAATTACATTCGACCTACCCATGAAATCCTTTACTCCCAAAATGATCTTATACCGTAATTTAAACCTTCTCTCTTATGAGTCCCTTCAACCTGATCTTGACACTTCCAATGGGACATCATATCTTCCTGTAATTCCATCGATCCTATGATATCTATTCTAACCTCAAACCTACAATCTTTATTAGACATCCATGCTCCTCTGAAAACCAGAACCTTACACAGTCCCACTGCACCTTGGCTGACTCCTGAAATAAAGCAAATGATGAAAAGAAGGAATGCAGCAAGGCGCAAATACCGTCGAACCCGTTTGCCTGCTGATTATGTGTTTTTCAAGGAACTTCCCAATGGAACCCAATCCAAAATCCGACTTGCTAAAGCCACCTACTTTCATAATGCCCTTTCCATTTCTCCCGATTCCAAATCCAAATGGAAAATATTCCGTAACCTATCCCTACCAGAATCCAATAAACTCAGTTCCATCCCGGTGACTCCAGATGATCTCAATGATCATTTCTTATCCTTTACTCACAATTCTTCTCCTACTTTCGAAATCAAACATCATAATTTCAATCTGGAAGACTTCTTTTTCTCCCATGTGTCCTACGATGAATTACTTTCCACTATCCTAAAATCCCACACTAATGATTATGTTCCTGATAATATTCCAGTGAAACAAATAAAATCCTGCCTTCCTGTCCTTATTCCTGTTCTTTACCATATCTTCAACTTTTCATTGCAAATCTCCATATTCCCATCCTCCTGGAAAACTGCTCTAGTCTGACCTTTGAATAAAATTTCCAATCCTACCTCACTGCATGACTTCTGACCTATTTCTCTCCTTTCCAATCTTTCAAAGCCATTAGAACGCCTTGTCCAAAATCAACTCTCCACCTTCCTAGAGGAACATTCCCTTATCAATCCATTCCAATCTGGCTTTCGACCTGGTTACTCAACGTAATCTGCTCTCCTTAAAATAACCCATGACCTCCAAAACTCCACTGAACACCAAAACCTTACTATCCTCATCCTTCTAGATTTTTCCAAAGCGTTCGACACAGTTGACCATAACATCCTCCTCACTAAATTGCACAATCTTCCTCTATCCAACAGTACCCTGCACTGGTTCAAATCCTTCCTTTCAAATCGGTCCCAGTATGTTGTTGTCCCAGGTCAACCTCCATCTAAAACACTCCCCCTCACCTGTATCTCTATCTTCTACTCTGTTTGCTATTTACATTAATGACCTTCCCCTCCTGATCCATCACTACTTATACCATATCTATGCAGATGATTTCGAAATATATCTGTCCTTCCCACCTATCGACCTATCAGCCACAGAAAAACTTCAAGAAGTCTTGGATAGAATTTGTGACTGGGTGAGAGCTAACAAGTTGAAGTTGAATGTGGAAAAGACCTAATATGCCAACTCTGTTCCTACATTATTATACCATCAAATTTTACCCCACCATCAAAAACCTTGCAATAACCTTTGATCAAACACTTTCCTGGAAAAACCATGTATCCAATATCTCCCGCCATACATTTTCCACCTTAAAACGTCTAAATTACCTCCATCACCTGTTTTCGTTTGAAACCCGTAGGCTCTTAGTCACTTCCTTAATATTTCCCCACTTTGACTATGCTGTACCTTTTTTTCATCATCATAACCTTGTTTACATTTCTACTTACATTCTAAATTTCTCTTCTTATTTTTTTCTTTTAGAGTTATATACACTGCCAGGCAAAAAATTCCACCCACTTGATTTTTTCATGTTTTCATCTAAAAATATTTCTTCTTTGGATTGGTCTATTGTTTTTAATGAATAAATAGGTAATCTTTTTGTTTGTTTTCAATTAGGAATGTTAATATAGAGGAAAGTAACCCTTAATCCTTAATTCAATGAAATGATTCTATATTCCAATGTTTACTTTCTATGGAATCAAAATGTTTATTCAGTATCATTAGTTCAGTGCCGTTTCTTGCAGCATATTTCTTAGTCTCAGGCTTTTAATTTTTTCAATATTAAGTTTAAAAATGCCTCATAGTGCTGAGGATATTGCACGTGGTGTGGCACTTATTGATGATGGACGTTCCATTAGATATGCAGCTAATGCCATCGGAGTTCCATATGAAACTTTACGAGACTTTTCGGGAAACTGGTTCTTACAATAGAAGGCCCGGTTCTGGACAGCCTAGGGTAACAGAACCACGGGATGACCGGTTTTGACTTTGAGAGTTTTACGAAACCGGCACCTTACTGTTGTTCAAGCGATTCATCAGCTCGAAGAAGTTCGAGGTGTGCAAATTTCTGAACGTACCGCTAGGAGAAGATTAAATGAATATGGATTAGTGGCTTTTCGTCCAGTAAGATGACCAGAGTTGACCAGAACTCGCAGAGTAACACGGCTGGCTTTTGCTCGAGAGAACACAGCCGTTGGGCTATGGACGAATGGAGTGCTGTACTTTTTACAGATGAGTCAAGATTCGCTCTTCGATCTCCAAACGGGCGTGAAAGTGTGTGGAGAAGAAGAAACGAAAGATATGCAGGCTGTAATTTTTCCCAGAGCCAACCTTTCCAACGTGGTTTCTTAATGATGTGGACAAGTGGGTGGAATTTTTTGCCTGTCAGTGTATATTTAATAAATAATCATAACCTTGTTTACCTTTCTATAGTCTCATTATTTGTTTACCAACATTTATCAAGTATAATCTTCACTAGGTTGTTATCGACTGATATCTTATTATTATGTTATCTTATTCTTATTTTATCTTTACTTGATCATGACTTATTCATTTTTCAATTTCTTTATTCGTCAATACTCATTTTCTTTATCTGTTAACCTACAGTTATCAAATGTAACTTTGACCAGTTTGTTATCCACTCATTTCTTATCTTTTATCACAATCTGTTTACTTTTAACTTACACACTATATTCACGGTTTCTATTTTATTCACACTTATTTTCTATTTTTGTTTGTATCTATATATAATAATTGATATTTTAACTCCACTGAAGATAGCACTAAACTTGGATTGCTATAGTGGATTTTATCTGCAATAACATAAGGTTTAATCAGTAGGAACAATTGGTTTCCATTAGTTATGTTGGGTAGGAAAAAGGACTAATAGGCCCTCTTGCCCACCAGTCATAGTATGAGAAGGTGTTTTGCAATGTCTTACCAGTTTAAATGCCTTCCTTGATGCCAGTTTAAAAATCTTCCTTTTATGTCCCATACCTTATTATGTGGATACATTAACTATAATTTCCACATATTATGTGTAAATCAAGGTTAAAAAAAATATGATTATGTACCACATGATAGATATAACAAAGTAATAAATTAATTTTATCCTAATTTAATCTATTGTTATTTTGTTCATTTGTTAAGGAAATAAGTGTGACTTGCAATCACTAAGGGAAGTAGAAGTTGCGGAAGTCAATGCTGTTTGTGATTACATACCAGAAATATTATTTTCTATGGAAGTTTCAGCTAAAGAAAATACAAATGTTGAAGAAGCTTTTATTCTTCTAGCAACTGAATTGAAGGTACTGTTTGTAAATGGTTGTGTTTATGAACCATTAACATTATTATATATGAATCTATAATAAATTATATGGTGGTATTATGACCATTTAGTCGCTGTTCTTTTGCCTTATGATTCCATTTATATACCCTTTTTTATCAATATTTTTATGAATGGTCAATAATATTATGCATGCATATAATTACTTTATATACAATTAATATAATTCAATAGAATTACGTGATTACTTGAAGTACATATTAATTATTTTATCTTTTACTAAATTTTTATAAAACATTGTTATATTTAATAGCACTATTTCATTATATTGTTTTTTGGAATGAAATCTGATACTGTTATTCGTGTTTTAAAAAAAACTCAAATATTGGATAAAAATTAAAATTTAAAATGTCTACAAAAATTAAATTATAGTTTGTAATCGTATTAATATATGATACCTTTTAATTTATTAGACCTTAGATTATTTGAATGTATAAACGATTATTTGCTATTTAAAGTCTTCACAAGGTCCATTAATTATTTATTTTATCTTAATCAAACCTAAGTGTTTTCATCCATTACGGTATAATTGCAAGTGCTAGGCTATGGAAAAATGTAAAATAAATAATCCCTCTTCTTTCGCACTTCAGCCAGATTTTTGCTATTTGTTACCCTGTTAATCTTTTCTTTATTAGTTTCATTAGTTAGAAATTAATGAATCCAAAACAAAATACATGCACAAAGGAGGACCGGCAGAACAAACTGACTATGTGGATATAGGAGGCTTTAATATCGAAAGAGTAGGCTCCTTTACCTACATGGGTATCACTGTCACGATTGATAATGATGTCTCATTGGAGGTCAAGAAGAGAGTAGCTCAGGCAAATAAATGTTATTTTGGAATCTGCCAGCATTAAAGAAGCAAACTTATATCGTGGAAAATGAAAGTAATCCTTTACAAAACGCTCATCCGGGCCTGTTCTCACATACGGTTCAGGAGCTTGGGCCACTACGAAAGCCGACGAGAAACAGCTGCTGACTGATATATTGACGTACAAGAGAGGGGAAAACCTGGAGGAAGTGCTTCAATGTGGAGCTAACAAATTTATTTCAGGACCAAATGTCGTTAGGGTGATTAAGCTGGATATGCTGTGCTGGATAGGACATGTGGCCTGAATGACAGATGCATAAATACCCAGGAGAATGGTGGAGGAAAAAGTGCAGCGTACAAGAAGAGTGTAATACTCTAGGATGTGATGGCTGGATGGGGTAAGTGAGAACACCAGATATCTGTTAAATACCCAAAATTGGAAGGCTGCCGTACTGGACAGGGAGGACTGACAGAAAGGGATCGAGGAGACCAAGGCCCATTGATGGGCTGTAGTGCCGAGAAAGAAGAAGAATTAATTCTCTATAAGTTTCCAGGTCAAGATTGGTTGTAATAAAAACAACTATCTCAACTCTGAAACTAGCCAATTCTGAGAGGAAAAAATTATTAATTCTTTGTTTTAATCTTTTAACAAATGGTTAAGCGGGGTTCTACTGTATATATTTTATAACAAATTTAATTGTGATTAAGATAGTATGATAAGTATTTTTCTGTGATTTACAGGTCGGTATTGCCAGAGTTTTTTTTTTTTTAAATCATTTTTAAACCACTGCCCACCATGATGCCTGGATGAGAAATGGCACTAAATTTTTATAATGTTAATGCCACTATCTCGTAAACATCGCAACACATCCTTTAACTTGAAAACATTGTTGTTTTTATCCATATATTTTTTATCCGTTGTATATAACTAACATTTTTTTTCTTAACTATAAACCTCTTCATTTGTTCTTCGTCTCCACTCTTCACCAACTAACACAGGTCCAAATATTTTTCGGAGGACCTTCCGCTCAAATATTACCAACTTCTGATTCGTATCTTTTGCCATTGTCCATGTCTCCGCTCCATATGTGAGGACTGGGCGAACCAGTGTATTGTACAGAGAAGTTTTTGTTTTTGTGGTCATTAACCTGCTTGATAGATGTTGCCTCAATCCAAAGTAACATCTGTTTGCGGCTAATATCCTTGTTTTGATTTCTACTTCAATGGGATTATCACATGTGACCTCTGAACCAAGGTACGAAAATTCAGAAACCCACTCGAAAAGACAACTTCCAAGTCCCACCTTTTCCCTAGGGTGTCTTGGATGCTGTTCAGCAATCATATACTTGGTCTTATCATGGTTGACCACTAGACCTAGTTTTCTTGCTGCTTCTGTAAGAGAGAGAAATGCGTCTTCAACTGACTTTTTTGAGTGTCCAATTATATCGATGTCGTCGATGTATGCTGAGATTTGCACGGTTCTATTTATAATAGTTCCTGTCGTCTGAATCCCGGAATCTCTTATAGCCTTCTCTAGAGCCAGGTTAAGCAGAAAACTGCTAGTGCATCGCCCTGGCGGACTCCCCTTATAGACAAAAAACTTTCAGATTGAAACTTGCACTTGTACAACGCATTCAAGGTCTGTCATGGTCATCCTGATCAGCCTTATCAGGCCTGCAGGAGCATTTAGCTGTCTCATTGCCTCGTAGAGACCCTTTTGATCCATACTATCGTAGGCTGCTTTGAAATCTTCGAATAACTGGTTAGTTGTTACACATAACTTACATCCCTTTTCCAGTATATTCCTGAGGTAAAATAGTTGGTCAGTTATAGGTTTTCCTCTCCTAAACCCACTTTGGTAAGAGCCTAGTGTTCTGTGTGCGAACAGAAGAAGCCGTTGAACAGAATCCGCGAAAGGACTTTATAAGCATAGGGTTGGAGGGCTATGTCCCGGTAATTTCCACAGTCAAAGGGGTCCCCTTTTTTGAATATGGTGGTTCAACATCCCTGTCCTGTTGGAATAGATTGTAGTTATTTTCCTCCTCCTCTTAATGTTCTGCATAAATATTCGCAAAGTGTTCCAACCATACATTCATGCACACTGCCTCCTCAGCAATTATATTACCATCACGATCCTTGCATGCTGTCCCTATTATATCTTTTTCTTGTTAGGATTCTAGGTCTTGAGGTGTTGATTCTTCCTATAATATGGGAAATGTTCAGGTAGTGATCAAAATCTACATTTGTGCCATGATATACTCGAACATCTGTGAGAGAACTAATATGCCTTTTATCTATCATGATGTGGTCAATTTGGTTCATGGTAACTCCGTCGGGAAAGGTCCAAGTTCCTTTATGAATACGTTTGTGAGGGAAGGTTGTTGTTCCGATAGTAACATCTTGGAGGCAGCAAAGTTGATCAGTCTCAGCCCATTACCATTACAACTTTCGTGGAGGCCGTGTCTACCAACAGTATACATCCTGATACTTCTTCTCGGTCTACTTTGGCGTTGAGATCGCCTTCAATAATCCTCATTTCATAACCGGAGCACAAATCGAAAGCCTGTTCAAGTGCCTCATAGAACTCATCTTTCTCATCTTCCTCTGATGTTTTGGTCGGAGCATGGTCATTCAAAATACTTAGGTTATAAAATTTCCCTTTGACGTGTAAAATCTTACACGAATTTCCGATATGCAGTTTTCGACGGTTCTATACATTTCAGAGCCCCCCCGAGTCCGAAAAATACATTTTTAGCCATTGGTCTGTCTCTCTGTGCCAAGATTTTCTCAGGAACTAGTGAACCGATTTTGTTACTTCTTTTTTTTTTTTTTTGTAGGGTTTTGATTACTGATGTCTGTGACACAAATTGGGTGTTCCATGCGCATTAGCTGCTGCGCAATAAATGAACCATGTTTTTCTAGTTAGACTGTAGTGCGAAAACAGCTTTAACGATTTTGATGAAACTTTTCTATAATGTTCTAATAATTGTCCTTTTAACTTTAGTACAAGGACTAAATTCCCGAACAAATTCAGGAAAAAAAGTTATACAGAAAAGAAAAATGTTTTGGGACCTAACTCGCTAAGTATATATTCCATGGTAAAATTTGTGATAAAACTTATGAAAGGTAATTAAATTACCAACAAAACAAAAAAATAAAATAAAATCATCGGAATTGAACCAGTATTAGCGATGATACAGCGTATTCTATTTTCTACACATGCTATAATTTATTACTTTCCTATCTATACTAGGTAAGGAAAGTATTGCAATCGGGTCAAATTTCCGATATGCGGTTTTCGACAGTTCTATACGTTTCAGAGCCCCCTGCGTCCGAAAAACACATTTTAGCCATTGGTCTGTCTGTCTGTGCCAACACCGTTAAGCCTGCTTTTTTTAAAAGGTAATGAAATCCCTACAAAACTATATAAAAATCATTCATTTCAGAAAATAAATCTAATTCAATTTTTTTTTGTTTCTTGATGGACATATGTAAAGATATAAAAGCTTTTCTGAAATAGGTAGGAAAGTCGTGTGAGTGGACACACCAGATTTATTTATTTTTTTTGCTTAACCGATCCTGTTATCCTCAATTACAATAAAAGTGCTGTCTAGGCTATTGAAAAACGTAAAATACATAATCCCTCTTCTTTCACACTATAGCAAGATTTTTACTGTTTATTATCCTGTTAATTTTCCCTTTATTAGTTTGCTACTCCATTAATTCTCTTAAAATAAGTTCATAGGTCAAGATTGGTTGTAATAAAAACAACTATCTAATTTGTTTCAATAATTTAGTTCAATAAACAAAACACTCATTTTTTATTTTACAAGAAAAGGGCTCCCGATCATATGGTATGTACCGGCCCCCTCATGTGATTATGTTGGTATCAAAACTATTTTTCTGTGATCTACAGATCAGTAATGTTCTTTCCGAAAAAAAAAAAAAAAAATCAATTTTCAACCACTGTGCACCGTGATAATGGATTTTATATTTTGTTTTCTTATTGTATGTACTGTATGAATGGATATCTTTAGCACTGTAGATTGTATTATTATTCAATAAATAACAAAAAAATATTTTAAAAGAATTATCATTTTTTTTTTTGTTTTTAGAGACGTCGTGACAACCTTTTTGTTGAAGAAAATCCTGAAACAGTCAAGTTAAGTGATGGAAAAACAGTTAAAAACTGTAGCAGTTGTAACTTTTGATTAAAAAGTCATAAAATTAAATTAAATTCGTATTTGTGTGTGAACGCCGAAGTTATTCAATTATTTGTAATTGGGTCTTGGTTCCCGTTTGCTAATGTATATTTATTGTTGCTGGACCAAAAGAAATTAGTGTTCTTATCTTATATAGTGTTAAATTAAGTTAAATTTCTTTTAATCCTATATTAATTTTATTCAGGGTATTTCAGAAGATATAAATCCACTAATTTAAAACCAGGGTAATTATTTATTATATTTTAAGTTCTTTAAATTAATAATTACTTTAAAAAATCCTCTGTCTCATAATCGTTTATGGATACTGCATAAATGTTTACCTATTTTGTAACATTATCTTCATTGTTTTCAGTTGAAGAAATGATTTTTAGAATGTATTTCTATTTTACTTAAGAATTTTGTTGTTAAACATGAATTTACAAATACGCAGATGACAGTTAAATAATGTGTTACTTACATATTATTTGAAATGATCCTTAAGAGATTATATTTATTTTAGATCCTTGAAAGTATATTTATTTTAGATCCTTGAAAGTTAGTTCACTTCTAGACTCGGCTTATTTTTATTTATTTATTGTTTTATTTATGCTAATTATTTTCATTCAGCTGTTAGAATCATGTCTAAACTGTTTATATTTATTTCTAGATGTTGAAATCTATTTAAGGTTCTGTTATATGTTATGGATTTTACTGGTAATATAAATAAAGAGATTGAATTTAGAACACATTATTTTTAATCATATAAAATCAGAAAAATACATACACGCTGTACTATTTTAACCTATCTACATTAGGTGTTGTGGTGGTAGCGGGTATTCAAATGTGAACAGCCAATTCTGCTCAACCTAGGCAGCTGGTGCATTGTTAATTAATTAATTTAAAAAATGTTAAATGAGAAAAATCTAGGTGGATAAATAAATGCAGGATAGCAGCAATTGTGTATATCGAGAAAGATAATAAATGAATTAAACATGCCAAAAAAATGAACAAATTAAAAATATTTCTCTTTATACCAAAATAATTATAATAAAATAATGAAAGAAACAAAATTATCTTAAAGCATTAAACATAAACAAAAGAAACCTTAGAATTAGAAATTTAATTTACAAATACTGTAGATGAATTATTGTAATTTAATGAGATTAGACAAATAATTTAATTGTTAAATTAATTCAGAATTGATTAAAAAATCCTACAGAAAAATGTAGAATAATAATAAAAGGCTTAGCGAACCCGAAGGTTTTATGCCGACACCACCAATCGCTTATTACACACCTCCCTCCACCGTTCGCCGTCCAGACCCAGCCCCTTCAGATCGGCTTTAATGCAATATTCCCACCTTCGCTTCGGTCTACCCCTCGGACGCTTACCATTCGGCACAGCAAATATTAACCTTTTAGGAATTCTCTCGTTACTAAGCCCAACAACTTTACAAGCCCTTAAATTTAAAATTATATTTTTACTAAAAAAAAAAAAGGATATAGGAGAACCAGTCTTAAATCGGGAATATTCATCATTTCAAGTTCGCTTCCTACCAACTGGACTATAGAGACACATACAAAATGTAGCATGATCTGGTGTGCAAGTTAAAGTTCAGCCTCAATGTGAGGTATCTAAAATACAAAATTAATGTTTTTTATTTCACTGATGACAACACCTTAGACCCATGGGGTCAGTAATATTTTTTAAAGGGGTGCCACTCACATCAAATATGCTTCAAATTATAATAAAACAAATCACTTCCAGTCGGCCAGTCATATTTGCCCTTAAACGTTGCCACGGTGCAGCTGACGGTTGTTCTATATATTTTTCCGGAGCCATAGTTTTAGTGGCGTAATCTCAAAATGGAGATTATTTTCAAAAACTACGGCTCCAAAAATATATAAATAGACCCTCATGTGAAAGAAATCTGGAATACACAAATAAATTGAAACATAGTGGCATAATCTCAAAATGGACATGATTTTCAATATCTACAAGCCCGAAAACATATAAATAGACCCTCGTATGAAAGAAATCAGAAAAAACTCAAATAAGCCTCAAAGTGGCACAGTCAGCTATTTGAGTAAAATACCCAAAGTTGGGCATTTCAGTAAAATATTCGGACAAGTTAAACATCTGAGTACCGTAAGCAGAATCTATAATCTTATTTTATTGAGAAAAAATACATTTTGCCTCAATCAAGAGCACTGAGTATTTGAGGTATGAGAGACTCATTCATATGATACATACAATTACAGAAATTATAACAAAAGGAAGGCAAAGAAAGCTTAATAAAACAGAAGAAATAAAATATGATACTAAACAAATAAAAAAATAAGAAAAAAAAAAACATTCATGCTTATTTACAATATTTACAGTCAGCCAAGGGAGCTCTAAGTTGGTCCATTTTGCCCACATGTGGAAGATAAGGCAAGACTCTAAGAGATCCCAGCGCTTCTCTCTCAGCCGCATCACTGGGATGGGGATCCACCGGAGACTGAGGAAGGGCACTAAAGCCACATACGCTCATGACTTGAGTGCAGAAGCTGGCCATAGCCAGTACTCCAATAGCGTATTTATAAAAGATCTCAAGGCCACTCCCTTTTCAGAAGAGGATTGTAGGGATGACGAACTGGATAAGAATTGTAATAAGGGATTAAGTTTTGATGAAAATTTGAGAAATGGGATGGAATAACGTCAAGGACATAAGGGATGTTAAGGTCATGATGTAAAGTTTTGTTTGTAACATAATCAGGAGCATTTGCTATTGTACAAAGGACTTTAGATTGGAAGGATTGCATGCGATTATGTTCGAAAATTTAGCTGTCACCCATAGTTAAAGGCCATAGTTCCAGATGGGTTTTGTATGTATATTAATAATTGATTTTCTTTGTCTTGTATATTAATAATTTATTTTATATTGAGAGATTAGAGTTTCTGTTGAGTAGTTTGTATGATTGGCCAAATCATCGATTTAGTTCTTGTCTTTTAAGTCTAGTATGGGGATTCCATGTTAGTCTTTTAGTCTTTTATCTAAAAGGAATCCAAGATACCGAACTGTGTCTGAGATGAGAAGAGGTAAAGAGTTAAAAGGATAGGTGGACAGGATCTGCTTCGGAGGATAAAGGTGACATGCTTGCAATTGGATTCGTTGATTTTGATTCGCCAATTGTTGTACCATTGCTCAATTAGGGAGATGTGTCTTTTTAGGTTTAGAGATGCTGTTTCAGGGTCTGGGTTGGATGACAGGATGGCGGTATCGTCAGTGAATGTTGCTAAGAGGGAATCGGGATTGGTTGGGATGTCAGCAGTGAAGAGAATGTACAGAACTGGGCCCAAAGCACTGCCTTGTGGAACATCAGCCTCAACTGGGTAATGATTGGAGAATTCAGTGTCGCAGCGGACTTTAAAGGAACGGTTGGAGAGATAGGATTTAGGAGATAGGTATAAGGATTACAGTAAATGGGTTTTGAGCTTGAAAAGCAAGCCATCTTGCCACACCCGGTCAAAAGCTGGCGCTACGTCCAGAAAGGCACCAGTGCAATATTGCTTGTTTTCAAGCGCAGAGGAAATATGGTCAACAGCATGAAGGCCTTGTTGAACAGTGGAATATCTAGAGCGGAATCCACACTGGTGGGAAGGGATATTGTGGGATTCAAGTATGGGTAGGATGCGTTTGAGAATAATTTTGTCAAAGAGTTTTGAGAGAATTGGGAGTAAACTTATTGGTCTATAGGATGAGGTATTATTAATAGGTATACCTGGTTTAGGGAAGAGAATGATTATGGAGTCTTCCATATCAGAAGAAAATGAGTTGTACGGAATATACAGTTTTATAGATATGTGAGGAATATGATTGCTTTTTCGTGAAGTTGTTTCAAGGATTTTCGAGGTTTTTGGTTGTTTATAAGGAATTTGACCTCAGAGGGGTTGAGTGCTTTGGGAGGCAAGGGGAGAGGAATCGGAGAAGAAAGGAATTTTTTAACATAGGTGTTTGGCAACTTCTTCAGCTTTAGTCTCATCTGACGAAGTCCAGATTCCATCATCGCAACAGAAGGGGTGGGAAATAGATTTAAAATAGTCACGAGTTCGCGTCCCGGTGCCTGAGAGTCTTTAAATCCCCACCCACACCCCCTGTCCCGGGAAAACCCGTATAGCCTTAAAGGCGAGGGAGGGGAGGACCCCCCCCCCAAAAAAAAAAATAAATCTGGGGATAGGAAATGCGGAAAGGGTTAGGCTTAGCGGACTGTGGTCTGAGGAAAGGTCATCTAGCCGTAAAACAAAGAAATTTAGCGGCCTTTGTGAATATAGAAATCAAGGAGGTCAGGATTATTGTTAGGTTCGGTTGGCCAGTATGTAGGAGTATCAGTCTAAAAGACGTTGCTTTTGTAGGATTAATTAAGTGCAGGCAGCAATGTTTGGCTGCGGGAATTCGTGGTTCTATCTCCCCATTGCTGGTGTTTAGTATTAAGGTCTGCACCTATAAGGAAATGGTGTCCTAAGGAATTTAGAAAGGAAATGAAATTAGATTCATGTACTGTTATTTTAGGTGGAGAGTATGCTGCGACAACTGTGAAAGGAAAAAGTGAGGTTTGGATTGTTATTGTTGAGGTTTGTAGGAAATTATGTACTGATAAAGGATAAAAGTGATAAAAGAGGGATTAATGGATGATGACGGCAGTGCCTTCATGTGCTGTTCCATCAGGGAGGTCAGTTCGGTAAATCTTGTAACTAGGTATGTTTAACTGTCATTTGTTAGTTAGTCGGTTCTCAGTTGTAAGGGCTATGTCAATGTTTTTATCCTGTAGAAAAAAAGTTAGTTCGTTGATGTGGTTTTGAACACCATTCGCATTCCAGAGGAGAATGTAAAGGGATTTTGTTGTGGACATTAAAGGAATTCTTGGCGGTGGGATAAGATAAGCTATGACATTTGTAATAGGTTTTACAATCCCCTCACTACTACAGGAATGGCTTAGAAAAGAAAAACTGTTCCCAGAAACAGGGTTTTAATCTTCCTATACAGGACCAAGTTGTGGCAACTAATGTGATAAACAATTCTATTTTTATTTTAATTATATAAAATAAATATTCTATTAACAAGATATGTTTTGACACTATGGCTCTAAATTATAAATTCCTATTTATATCAGGTAATTTATGCTAAATAATAAGTGTTTTGTTCAAAATAATTATTTTGTGCAATATGAGTATTGCAAGTATAAGTATTTCACGTAAAATAAATATTGTAAAAATATTGCGATAGATACCAACAGATTGTTTAAAATTCATGTCTTGTAGTTTGTATTATAAACACTACATTGTTTAGATATTGTGTAATTTATTACATATTCCATAACGACATATTATACTATAATATAAATATATAAAGTTACATGTATGTAATAATAAAAATATTTTTTAATTAATTTTTATTTTTTTAAATTTGGCTATTAAACTCATGATGTGTTAAAAATTTAGGTAGTATAGAAAATTATATGTTATTTAGTCAAAAACTGGGTCGATGGTTACTCGAATACGCTAGTAAAAAAAAAATTAAACAAATAATACGTAATGGTAGTCACTTTAAATTCAACGTTCCTGTGTGTTAAATCCTCAATAGCTTCCGGGGTGGCCGGTTGGGGAAAGGTAAGAAAACTGTTTTTAGAAGTTCAAACCTTTGTTAACAATAAGGCCTATCTAGTTTTTTGAACGATTTCGTGCGATTTGCGAATTAGACTAAAATTG